AGTGAGTTCGGGGAACGGGAAGGTAGGAAACACTGACTGGGTGAGTGAATGAGAGGCTCCATTTCCATCTGGAATTGCACAAAACCAAGGATAAGTGAGAGTTACCAAGGACAAAGAGGGGGTAAAAGAAGCCAAAACTATTAAAAGAATTCTACCAATGACCAAGATATAATTTTACAAATATGGCTTTGATGTATTTACACTTGTCTGTCTGTGGGGTCGACAAAGATCTGTATCGCAAGCTTAACTTAATGGCAACGTTATGCACCAGTAGCAGCGTGGAGGGAACACAGTTCTCATTGTAAGGCAAACCAACCACAACTACCACTGGCTACAATGCAATTTCCCCTGTAAAATACAGGAAGAAAATACCAGGCAGCTGTTTCCAGCCGCACAAAACTGGGCTGAAACTGTTTCTGAAGATGCTGGACAAAAGAGAGGAGATGGAATGAGAAGATGCTTTTAGCACATGCAGCCGGTTAAACCTGACCCCGGCATTTTATTAGCAGACGGCATGAACTAGTCGAAGCCAACCCAGGGGTCTCGCCCCTCCTCCACCGCCTTCAACAATCTACAGTAGAGAAATTCTGTTAAAGTCATTAGCCCACGCATATTACTACGCTCGCAAACGCTGCTGAGCCCATGACATCATTATGGGCTGCTGTCATTCCAGTGGGATGTCTGTGTGCTCTGTCTGAGAGAGAGTTGGGCAGTCCCAACCATTTGCACCAGCATGCCACCATGAAGCATAGAAAACACAGTGGTCCAGAGGACGGGAAATTACCCATTTCAAAATATCCATTTATGGAGCGCTGAAGCTGAAGCGAAGCCAGTTATGTCTCTGCAAACAAATACTGAAGAAAGAAATCAGCTCAGTTTAGAAAGAGTGATGTGAAGTGTCTCAGATGCTTGGCACATGCGGTATGATACTATGGGAAGTGCACCTCGGGATCCAGCCACAGACAGCCAAGCCATGAGGTTGCCTTCCAGAAGAGCTCTAACTGCAAAATCAGGAGCCTTTGATGTAGCGCTATCTCCCAACAAACAGCTAGCAGGGCCGAGAGAAAAGCAGTGTCTGATAAGGACTTGAATATATAGAAGAACGTTGCACTTTCCCACAAAGTAAAGGAAATGTGGAGCTATTATGGGCCAGAGTGAGGTGGAGGTTGAAAACTTTTCCCACTCGAAAACACAACTGAAATGTTGAGTCTACTGCTCCATGCATAGAAATCATCTGCTCTGCACGGCTGAACATAATAACAGGGGCCGATTTGTGCTGCAGTACTTTCAAACAGCTACACTTTTCCTAGGCAGGATGTGTTGATAAAAAAAAAATATCCAAAAAGTGTTTTTATGTGTGAAATACGAGTGAAGTTCTTTTTATTCTGACTTTTTTTTTTACAGCCACTCACTTCATAAAGAAGTTATCTGCATCAAAGGGACATGCCGTGGGCTGTCGTAGTAGAGCTTGTAGCATAGCACAGGGTGTAATTGTCGTAATAGCTGAGATATAGCACAGCATTCAAAATCAGGGGCTGAATGGCTTCTTGCTGCGTTAGTCTGCTCATACGAGAGCTTCGCTCCGTGGCTGCTGATTGCTCTGGCAAGCAAATAATGGCTTCATTCCAGAAACGTGGAAGGTCCAAGAAAGAGAGCGTCTGAGTGATGCTGCGAGGATCCACTCACATCTTTGGTGCTTGATGCTGTAATTAGGGCCTTAGACAGCTGAAAGTCAGAGCTGGGTGTGGTAATGTTGAAAATGTGGAGTGAGGAGCATAAAATAAGCACCCATGGGAAATTAGGATGCTACTGTTTGACAAGAAAAATAAATAGAAGCAGAAAAAAGTCTAAATTTTAGATGTTGGATTACTCAGATTTCAGCTGAATGCTGTTATGTGTCAGTGTGATAGGCAAGGAGCCAGGCGGAGGTGGAAAAGTATTCAAACAAGCAGTTTAAAGAAGTCCTGTGAGTAATACACTGTGACTGAAACAGTTAGGAAGGAAACATGTCCTGGTGATCGTTCCAGATCTCAGATACAGTGCTGTGCAGAAGTCTTGAGCCACTCCTTACTTCTTTAGAAATGGCGAGGAACATAGGAAACGGACATAAATGAGAATGCAGTATATAAGGCAAAAGATTTTGTGCAATTCTAAAGAGTTTGAAAGTCAATATTGGTAAGTTGTCGTCATGAATATTTATCCAGGCGTCTTCCTGGTTGTTTCAAAGCTCTTCTTTGCTTGTTGGCTGCTTTTTGTTTTTATTCTATGACAGAAGTCTCCAGTGTGTTAACAGTGGCTGTAGACACCTGCTGTATAGACCTGTTGCAGCTGATTTTCAGTCCACTTCTTGTGTAATTCAGCTCAGCTGAAAGCCCAGGTGCATCTCTCAGGTCACGACTCAAACACATGACTTCCACATGTTTCAGAGAGTTTTTAGGCCTGTAACTTTTTCCTCTACTTGTTTCCACCAGTTTTCTCAATTTTTCTAAGATCACGTTGCACATTATGGTGAATGTTTTCAGCTATTAGCTCTTTTGGGATCACCTTAATGATGCAAAAATACTGTTTTATGCCTGTGAAAATGTTATGTTTGGCATTTTTTATAGATTCAACCAATGAGCCAACCTGGAGAAATATTGTCCAAGACCGCTTTAAAAATGGCAACAACGTCAGGTTACTTGGAAGCAAAATATACAAAAATTAGAGATGGTTCGAGACTTTTACTGTATTACTATGACAAAAGTGGACTCCATGTTGACATGAATTGCGACCAGCACACCCGGGCTGTCCCATCTAAACTCAAAGTTTCCTGGCACACGCTTACTGGCTTCCTTGTTAAGATGAGAGGGCTGTCACCACTCATGCACGACAATGTTTGAGTCTGACATGGTTGAACAGCAATCTCACAAGATGTGTGCAGGAAATGAAAGTTTCAGACCAAGTTTTGCACATTAACCCTGATAAAACTTGTTGCCACTACTCTTTGAGTTTGTTAAACTGAATCAAAACGTTAAGTAAATGCCGTGAAAGAGATTAAAGGGGATTCTCTGATCATTTGGAAAACTTTTAAGAGTAAGAGGCTTTACATAAAGAGAAAACTGAATAAAAAAAGATGGACGGATGGAAACACATGTTTTCTTATTTTTTCATCAGAACAATACGAGACTTTTTGTGGAATCCCCAAATTAAAACTGTATAGTCAAAGTCGAGCTGCTGATTACATTCCGCCCACCTAAGTGGAAAAAAACCCCAAACAAAACCCAAATTTTCATTACAGCATCTCCTCTTCGCTTCAGCGCATGAATAATGAAGAATCTAGACACGCGATCGTGCTTGAAAGAGAAAGTAGCCGTAAAGTCCCGCTTTGTGACGTGCTGAACGCTGAAATGCCCCCTCTGACGCATAAATGACACCCTGTCATCCTTGTTCGACAGGGAGGTGGGTGTCGACGGTGTGCTCGCTATTACAAAGCGTCTAAACGCCTAAACTCAGGCTTGATGTGGAGAGTGTAGGGAGGTAGGAAAGGGGAGGGGAGGATACTTCGGGTGTGGGAGTTTTGGGGGAATTCAGAAAATGTTGTTTTTTAGATGAGTCGCCTGCAGCGAGAGGGGCTAAACTAAATAAACGCAGACGCAGAATGCTGTGATGTTCTCCGTCAAGGATATGCAGGAAAATGTCCTCCATCCTGTAGAGGAGAGGGGGAAAATCCCGTTTACCTCTCCCCCTACCAAACACCACCACCTCCACCACTCTCGCCATGCCGCGCTCAGTTTGTGCCACTTCAGCCAAACGCTGAGTTGTCTGACTTTTGGAGAGACAAAAGAACCGCAGGAGCGGGGAGAGAATGAGGGGCGGGACGGAACGGCACAGGTCGGCTCATTTAATACATCAGCAGCTCATAATGGTTCATAATAGTCCAAATAAATAAACAAATAAACAATAAATAACAAATAAACAAAAAAAGAGCAAGAAATAAACTTTTTTTCATATATAGAAAGAACAAGTCCACTATATGGGTTGTTTATAACTGTGATCCAGTGTTTTAAGTGAAAATCAACCCACCACCGACAATTTTAAAAGCTCAACAAGTTTAAAAGCAAAACACAAACAGCTACTACTCGATTATTCGACCGCACCGTGGCAAAAGTGCGCTCATTAGCCCGTTAACTTACCAAAACAATGGCAAATTTCTCCTCCAGCTCGGTGGGGTCAGGCATGGGCACCTTCAGAGGCATGATGTGCTGCTTCATCTCCGACTGACCGTCCACACTCTCTATATTACCCATTTTTAATGCCTTATCCTGCCGTCGACTTGAAACTTGCCTCAGCTTCAAGAATAATCCAAGTAAAAGAAGCAAAAAGAAAGAAATCTCCAAAGTATTCCGAGAGTCTCATCCGCGATTTAATCCGAATAATCCACTTCTCTCCAAAAACAGATTATTGAAGAAGAAAGGAAGAAAAAAGCTGACACTGCAGTAGTCCCTAAATGCCATTTACCCCTAATCACGCGTTGAAGTTGACAGTGTTTGACTCGAGTCTCTTTTTTAAAAGTAAGAGCGCAGCTGCTTCATCTTCCAGAAAGTAGCCTCTGTCTTGCCTGGCCGATCCATTACTTACTGCGAATTTTCCCCAATGACAGATAACTTTCAAAACCCGACCGACAGTTACTTTTAGGTGCTGCTCAACTTTCTTGGCTCCGACGTGTTTCCATTCATTACTGTTGTGTGATCCTGATTAAGGTCTTTGCTGTTGCCTCCACTCAGAGCTCAGGGTTTTCTTCCAGAGTCCTGCCCGCATTGGGGGTGGCATGCCTCCCGTTGGTCTGACTGCACGTCAGTCATTGCAATCTGTCTCCGTCCCTCCCGCCCCTCACATCTGTAAGCAGTGAGCCTGCATACAGCTGGACGGAAAAGCCAATTGTCAGCACTTTATCGCGACCTGCTGGCAAGAAATTGCCATGCCAAGAAAGATCATAGAAATAAATAGATGACAAAGCTGGCTGGATTCACAGGAGTGCAAAGTTTAATCAGCAGCTTTAGCAGATGCATGATGATATGTTGAAATTATCAAAGCACAGCAGTTTTCCTTTTTACTTCTGACACTCTGGTTTTTTTCACCCTTTACCACAAATCAGTGTCTAAGTGTCTGCAGTGAGGTGAGACATGATGGGACATGGAAGCTGTCCCGGAACATGTATACAATAATCTGCTTCTCGTGAGGTCAAAAAGGGTTTTGCGTGTAAAAATAAAGCATAAACATGACTGTAAGCCATCAGCCATTTGCATTTAGGACTACAAACACGTAAAAACACAAAGGAGCTCTGGACAAAACATCTACAAAGTTTTCTCTTGGTAAAAGCACAGTGATTAAGACTGCGTACGGTATCGTACCTCTGTTCTCAGTGGTAATTTGACGGTGAAGGCTTGTAACACTTTGATTTAAAAAATGAACATTCAGAAAGTTCTGGTTAAAACATATAAAACTTCATCTGGAACATATTTCTTAAACACTGACGAACTGTGCACAGTTTTGAAATACTTATGGCAGTAATATAAACTCACATAAGCAAAGCCATAACAGGAACTGTTTGGAGACAGTAAAAAATAAAATTCAAATAAATGTTTTTCCGTTTTGTTGGATCCATAAAATGTCGTCGTACCTTTGGAAATTGGACAAATATATAAGCCCTTTTAAAGCTAAAATGCAAGAGGACTTTTTTGCATGCTTTAAACACACATAACCTTGGTTTGTCGAGCAACATAGTTGCGTTATTATCAAATATTTATTCAGCTTAAATATCTGCCTGAGACAGAATGGATTCAGCACAGTTATCACGTCACGAATATTTAGCGACAAGTAAAGTTTTGCTCATAAATACTGATGGACTGTGTTTTTCTGGAACAGATATGTCATCATTTTTTTCTCCATTGATGGTGGAAATTTCCATTTAAGCTGAATATACACACACGCACAAATCACAGATCACAGAAGCAATGCTTATGTTTGAAAGTAGAAGCCTGAGGATCAGGCATCGATTCTTTTAGTTGGTCTCTGCTGCCAAGTCGTACCTGAAAATAAAAAGAAAGAAAAGACAATGGATTGTTTTTGTGCTGCTTAAAGAAGAATAAAAACACTTCACTGTGATTCTTATAATTGATGCATGAAAGGGTTAAATAGTTACCACTGTGTGACACCCGTCTTGAGGTCAATTTGGTCCAGGTCCAGCTGCAACTGAAGGCATTGAGAGAGAGAAGAAGAGTCTTGAGATTAAAGCCAAGAATTTTACACGACCTTGGGCAAAGACGAGCTGAATTTCAGACGTGACCGATTACCTTGCCGATAAGCTCCTTCTCTCGGCTGATGAAAGAGACACTGTTCTTCACAGACAGGTCCAGTCTTCTCTGAGAGGATTCCTCGACTGATAAGTCAAAGTCAAACCTACAGAAACAAGCGAGATTAATGTGGGAGAGGTCAGCCTCTCATCCTCAGACTTCTTTCGCTATAATCACAGCCTATTTGTTCGTCTTGCCTCTCATTGAATTCTGGGCTGAGGTCTTTCTTCTTGGTCACAGTTTTCCTCTTGGTGGTAGCCTTCTTGTCAGGCAACAGGATGAAGGAAATATACGGGTCTGCGCCATCCTTGGAACGCGCTACCAATGCTCTGTCAGTATAAAGAGATCACATCCACAACGTATGATGTTTTCTCTGCTTACAG